ATGCTGGAAAATGGATATTTAATAAATTAAAAGACATAATTGTAGCTCATTTGGGATTAAATTTTACTACATTCTTCAGGATTGCCGAAGCACTGGCAGTGTTTTTGCAGATAATGACTAACTATTTTTTTAATATTCAGCAACAATCTATTAACGAATAGTGAATTTTGTAAATAAATTTTACGGAATTTACTTAATTGGAGAATAAATGTGAAATTTGATTTAGTCGCAAAATTTCTGCCTATCATGATATATTTAGATTGCGCTTCAACAGAACTAGTTTCAAAGAAAACAGTAGTAATGTTTAAAACAATTATACCTGATTTATAAATTAAATAAAGCACAAGATAATAGCACAGGGATAGGCATTGAAATAAATTGACGTACCTTACAGAATAAAATCTATAAGCTTCAGAGAACTATCCAATTTTTCTTTTAATATTGGACAGGTTGATAATATTCTGATATGATTTATCTCTAGTAAAACTCGGGCAGCATGAAAGCGTTAGAGTAAATGCTGCGTCGTACAAATCAAGTTCATCGTTTTCATATTTATTTAATTTCAGTGCATGTTGGTTAGACATCAGATTTAATAATACTTGTAAAATGACCTAATTCTGTCTAGCATATATTTCTATTAGCCCGTTTGACGGAAAATAAATATATTATGTAATGGAAAAGAACAAGACAGTCCCAGAATATGGGCTATTTTTAAATATTTTTCCAATAATAGATTGATGATATTTACGTACGTAATCTTTCGTAAGTAAAAAAACCTGCTGCGAATTATTTATAAATATACGGCAGATAAATCATCCTTCATTTGTTGTATGAAATTCTCGTCTCTTATGCAGTTTTGTGTTTGACTAATTATCAATTGACACTGTAGAACAATATACTACGGGAAATGCGATCAAAAATGATTAAACCTACATCTTATTTAGCGGTTTACTAATTAATAACATTTTAGCAAGTTCTAAGCAGGCGTAATTCATATCCTGAAGCTACATATACTAAAGGAAGTATTAAGGAATATTAAATTTATTATTTATTACAGGCAAACTGAGTAACTGATAAGGAAACTAATTCGTTTATTATGTATAAATTTTGTTTCTAATCTAGATTCTATGTTGGATAATAATGACTTGACTAGTTATAGTAAATCTTAATATGCTCAAAGTCTGTGATAACGCAATTTATTTTAATTCATGTTAATTACTTATTATTATGAATTAAGCTTACGTAGTATGCTTACGACTGGATATCTACATTTGTAAGCAATTTATATTATTCACACCTAACCTAAAACTAATCAAGGCAGAATGTGAACGTCAAATAGCTTTATTTATTCTTCGCCTACTATTTCTTTACTGTCGTCTGATTTATCTATACCAAATCAACCTAGAGAATAAAAGAAGGGGTTATTTAATTTGTGACAGAAAAATAAAAATATAGACGATGTTTTACAATATTAGGTACGTGAGCAGTTCATAACATGAGCCCATGCAGGGTTAAGATTCCAGGCGTGAATTAACATTACAATCTAAAAAATCCAATCCGAGCAGAGATTAACTCACTGATTCGATGTTTATGATTTCGATTATCTGCCCTGATTATATCATCTTTTGACTCTATTTAGCAGATTTTTTGCTTTGAGTTATTATTTAAAGGTTACAGTTACGTAAATTCGGGATATTCATAGGTATATAAGATATACGACCTATTTGGTATCATACACTCCCAGTAATCTGTAAGCATTGAATGGCTGCTACCTTTAAGATAGCAATATTTCCAAATAATAGAAATTTAATTTTGATTTTAGAAATATATCGGAGTTATAATATTCTGTTTGATTAATAATTCTATTCAAAATAGAATTTAATTTCATATACTAGTCAGAGTCTCAGAATGAAATGATTCGAAATCGTAGCATCATTAATGTAATTCGGTTCAGAAGCGAACGAGAAGCATGGGACTAGTTCTTCTAAGCAAAATTACGTAGGTTTCAGCGTCTATTTTCCAACACCTCATTAAAACATCGGGTATTTCAATAAACTTAGGCTATTGCCGGCAAATGACGTCTCAAATTTCATATCACGGATAGCATGCTTTGTTATGTATTTTTATAGGATTTGGTGTTCCAGTCGAAGTCGTTCAAAATTAATAATCTACAATACTTATGACCGTCTCAAGCTTTAACATCACTCATTTGTGATGTAACTTTCTTACTTAGGAATTAAAATGTCTCGCTGGAGATTGCCCTAAGACAGATCTATCATTCTTAGACTTCAATCTCTGATTCTTATAAATTTTACTATATTTTAGGTATTTACCGTAGCTATATTGATTTGCTTGGTATCAATACTGTGGTGCTTCAATAGTTGCATTTAAAGGTGTTGCTATGTGTCTACTTATTCGTGTTGAACTCTATTACACAATTAGTAAACGAACTCGTAACAAGTACTTCGACATTTAGAAAACGAAAATACAAAGAATTTTTATCGTACGAATCACTCAATTATTTAGTTACATCAAGGATTCCATATACTGTAATAAGCTATATTATTGACGTGTATATTGGAAATTAAAGGCAGATCTGGAAAGCAAAATAGAATACAATAAGGCACAAGTCTGCCAATGATTTAGGCTTGATGTAAAGTCAATTTCTGGATCCTAGCAAGTTGAAACATCACATTTTATTTTTATCGGATTGCGTGTAAAGATATGGCTTTAATGCATAATATTGGAATAGTCAGTTCTGTGGCATACAGTATAATGCGTTATTTAGTAAATTTTACTCGTTTGTTAGATTTCAGAATTGTCTCTTATCCTTCACGTTGAAAACTACTGTTCTGTTCATATCTTTTCATAATCATATAATAATCTCTAAGTGTAGTTTCCGCTGCCGGATATAACCTTGCGATTTAAAGGATATTGGCATAGCCATTTCTTCCCGGTAGCTATAGTTTCGCGTAATAACTATTATAACAGTCCAAATTCTTCCTTATGTTGCCATATTTTATCATATTTTAGGAATAAGCTCGATTTATTGCGCTGTCAATGTTAGCGAACATTTAGCAACCGATTAAGTTTACTAAATTAAATTCATACCGAGAAATTGATACTTTGGCTTAATAATTAATTAAAATTTGATACTAGCATCCGATTTTAAGCGTTTATGAATAAATATCATCAAAAGCTTTTATTTATTTAAAGATCAGAACGGTTTGCTTTAATAACTGGCAATTTGACTGAAACTCTATAGGGATAATTCCGTGTAATACTTTATCTAATAAGATTTGGTATCGAGCAGTTAAAATAAAAATTTTGATAATTATCTCCTATCTGTTGTGGACTATTTTGATTTTAACACCAACCGCTGCATGAAAAGAAATTTAGTCATTCTTAATCAGAATAACTTAGAAAACAAGAAATTTTGCTAGAAGCCAACGTAAAGGTAAAATAAAAGCACTATTCCATGGATTACTAATTCTTGCAAACATTGGTAACTAATGATTACTATCAAATGTGTACTTTTCTCAATTACAAATAGCAGCCAAAAATCTATTAATGTTGCAAATTACAAAGTGCAGAACAGAAGATAAATTAATTCCCTAACAATATCCGTGTTAAAAGCGGAGATACTTGAATTAAAAATGTGCAAATTTTCTGTAGTATGCTATACAATGTATTTGCATAATTACTCATAAATACAGTGATTACAGTCGTTGTTGTTGTAATACTGATTTAATATTAATAGTTGATCTTTTCATAAACATGGGTACCAGGTTTAAATTTCCTATGCTTTAGAATCTTACTGATTAATTACATAAATCATTTATTCTACATGTCAAATATCATTTGAAATATTATTTCAACGAATTTAGTAAGATACACCATATTTCTCTAAAGTAATACTAACGTCAGACGGTAATTTGTTTAAGTGCAGCATGATTATTAGTTGAGAAATAGTTAGTGCATATCTGGCCGTTATTTTCGAATACAACTTATTAAAGACAAAATATCAGTAGCAATCTGTATTATTACTTATAAAGAATCTTTATTTTTCTGATTACTGCGATATAATAGTTATGGAACCTTCTTTGCGTACAGCAAATACGTATTCGGTAACACTATGACAGAATCCGTACTGATTCAATAAAAATAAATTTTATGAAAATACTACGAGCGAATTGCTAATTAATATCCCAAGATTATACAAGTTACAATTGGCGTTTTTATTATAAAATTAGCAGTACATGATACTAAAATTACAAGGTTGTTTGGCTAATAATAATGGGCAAACATTGACGAATCCCATGACAGCAACCTACATTTTCTCCCAGGGAAAAGAAATCCGCAAAATGATGAGACAGATATCAGAAATAGGAATTAACAGTAACTATAAATTGTTTTCGATCAAAATAGCCATACTTTTTGACTCGTAGCATTGTGACATGTATTAGAAATTTAACTACCCTAGCATTTTCAGGTAGCGTAAAATAGAATTAAATGGCAGTAAAATAATTTAAAATCATACAAATTTAATGTGTAGGGGTAGATTAAGTCATGTAAGTTTACATTTAGTTCATGTGCTAGTTACAGATCTTAGCAAAATATTCTTTTTAATTACTTAAAATATGATAAAATGAGGTACTTGTTTGAATTGAGAAAACACCTATTTACATTAAATTTATATAACAGTACTATTAGTACCTATTACTGATAATAATGGTAATGAAATTGATTATATCATTAAAAAAATTATTTACGAGAATTACCGAGTTTGTAGATTAATTTAATAGCATAAAAGTTGTTATAACTATTTTTTGTCATGATTTATAGTGCAATTTTAATTTTGGGGTAATTTTTGATTGGAATGACATAAATTCTTTATTCCTTCTCTATCACTATAGCGCATGTAATTACCTTTTCTTTATAGATAACTTTCTAGTTTGACTATAGTCACTAAGAAATGAATAAAAATTCTTTAGCCACACTTATAATAAGCCATGTTGCCTAAGAACAGCTCTGTTGGCTGCAGTTTCTGGGCCTCGATTCGCTCGATGGCGTTTCCGATTTACTTTTCTTGTACTTCGCAAACCATAATTTCGGATAATCAGAATAGGATTAACTATAGTATTCGCGTAGCTTACGATCATGAATATTAATATAACGGTTAAATTCCATTTTGTATTACCAGCAAGGGTGAAAATAGAATAAATAATGCAAGGTAACTGAACACACAGGTCTAGCCAAAGCATTAGGAATAATGTCTTTATTAAGGCAAAATCTCTCTCAACATGAAATAGATCGTTGTTGACAATTCTAACTTGACGATCACCAGCCTTGTTTGTGTTGGCTATTTCAGGTGCAGTTTGAAATAACTGTTTTCGAATAGTTGATCCCAGTCGACAATAACATATAATAATTATAATCAAAATGATCGTTTCAATGCCAGTAATAAGTGTGATGTGGTACAAAGCGCCACTTAACGAAGTATAGCTATTAATTGCAACGATACATATGCCAAGATTGCTTAGATAACTAAGATTCCCTAAATTACCAGACAGTGGAGGTATCATAAGTATCAGTCCACATACGTAAGCTATAGTAACCAAGATAAATGCCCTTTTTGTTGTGAAAACTTTGTTGAAAAAGTTTGTTTTTTGCATAGAGAAATAGCACGACATGATTGTTAATGACAAAATCAGAAAATTAGCTATATCAAATATCCTGATGCTTATGAAGCGTAGTCTGCAGCTGAACGATTCATGTAAAAATACGAGAGCGTTTGAAGAAGGCCATGAAACAGGAATAATGAAAGCTAAACTACAAAGTAATACAAAAAGAGAAGTTTTTAATATATTCAAAATGTAGATGAAAATAACAATACTTCTGGAAAACTGGAAAGAGTCGATTGCATTATTCAGACCATTAGTGAAAGATTTATTTATAAATATTAGAAATAATATGTACGTAAGACTAAGTATGGCAAATTGAACTAAGATAGAAAAGAGATATAGATCAGGTATCGATATGAAGGAAGAAGTTAAAATTCAACCGAATCGGAAGAAATGAGAAATAAAAGGTAACGAATAAGATGAGGGATCGCTAACTTAGAAAAATTTCCATAAAAAATCCTTTATGAACTCATCAGATTTTAACATTTATTTTATTTTAAATTTAGACGTACATGAAGATAAGGGTGCAGAATTACCGTAATCGAAACGCGTGATCTTGTTTATACGTTTTCAAATTAAGCTATATATTGTCAGTCAAACCAAATCATACTTACTTTGATATCACATAAATAATATCCGAAATTGATAAATTAAGGATAAATACATGGCATATGGATAGAGATGTTCTTTGGGCTATCATAAATAAGATCAATAAAGAATTAAGTGCAATTGAAGGTACTGCAATCAATAGCGTGGCAATAGTTATAATGGTAGACATTTGAAGATTTGGCTGTTGAATATTTGCAGCCCAATTGATATTTGTTGTATTATTAGAAAATCTGATATTTTCCATCTTGATTTGACCAAGAACTTTAGCCTATCACTATACTAAATAAATAAAAGGAAAGAAATATACTTTACGCACGGATCAACAAATATCAAGAATAAACTGAGTAGGAATTAAACATTAAATGACAATGTACTTATAAAATCAAGGCTAAGTTCCCAATATTTACAGTTACAAATATGGCTTTAAGTTCAAACGCTCATTCCAACTCGAAACCCACGATATAATTATGCACAGATTTAACCGAAAGTGATCTTCTCAGATTTTTTCCTTGCTTTCAGCGCTCTCTTAATATTCTGTATTATAATTCTGTATGGCATAAAAATAGTCGACACATACGTTGGGCTTTGTTTAAGTAAATAATGTACTTGGTAATAGCTTTATGCACTAGAATGGAGCAAGTTCCCATTGGTAGTAATCTCAAAGTGAAAAGGTTAAATGATCTACCACTAGTAATTAAGGGCTTTTGTCTCATATTCTAGTATAAAAATCTATTAATTTAATAGAGCTTATTATTTTTGATATAATTTGTCAGTTTTTACAATATCTATGCTAGTGCTATATGAATTATGAATTGAATATAAAGAAAGGTAAAATAATAAAAATTAAGATAAGTAATATCGTGGTAAGGTTTTAATTAATTTAACGCATTTATTACTTTTAACATAATCTAATAAAAGATGCAATAATGATTATTTCACTAGAAAACCATCTTCATTAGTGATTTATTTGTTTTTTTAAAGTTAAGAAGCTGTGGAATTAAACCATTTAAGAATCTCACCGAAGGAAAATAGCTAATACATGATTTTTAAAGAAAATTATTAAACTTTTTGAATTTGAAATCTATACTGTGATCAAATAACAATGAAGACTTTTTTTAAAAATTATTGCTTATAACCTTCGTAATCGAAACTTTCGTTATGAAAACTAACGGAAACGGTTTTATATATTTCTTCTGATAATTATCTTAACTCTCTAAGGGAAGCTTTTATGCTACTTAAATCGGCTCTATCACTAGTTTTGATTCAACTTTTAATGCAATGAAAATCTTTGAATTACCTTTACAATAGATTTTTTGCAAAAGCAATAATAGTCTCTCATGTTGAATCTTGATAATTAGTACTTCCCCATAAAGTTTTTCATAGGTCTTAACAATCTATTCTTTCTTCATAAATAAATTAACTCCTCTTTAAAACAATAATGATACCAATCAACTAGAAATAGATATTATCAGATAAAGTAATACAAATCTGTTTTTTTTGTCGTGATCTTCGATATGTAAGTAGCACGAGTAGTGTAGCATACTTTGCAATATGATAAAAATTGTTTTCATTAAACACATATCGGGAATGAAAAGTTATAAAATGTACTGGTCATCGCTTAAAAACTGCCTTTCAGTGTTAATTTCTTCTTTATTCGTCGCTGTAAACAACAGAAGATGATAACGAGGCTGCCAAAATACGTTATATTTGGCGTCAAGTTTACGTTTATTCATACGTAGCCTACAGGAATAAACACTTCAAAGCAATATTTATCCTTGAAAGTTTCACCCTAACACGACTTATTAATAATAAAATCTACTTTATTCTTTACTGGATACTATTCTTTTTGCCGATAACTTTAAGAATTTGTTAGGAATCGAAAGATAAAATAAAGTTAAAGATTTAAACTGGCTACTGTATAGTATTTTACTTATCATACAGTTTATTTATCTACTTATTTTATTTTTCCACTATACGTATCATAAGCTAATTAGTAATGTAAATTAAATCGTAGTTAATAATCTGTATTGATTATTGAAAGTATACTTTATTTTCAGCTGATCTGATGTTTAAAAAATTAACTTAGGATAAACAATTATCAAGTACTGCAGTTATTGATTGATGAAACCTTATAAATTCGTTATGCCACAAAATTACACTTGATTGCCGTATGCGTTGCCATCAGTAGCATATTCTTTCAATGACATCGATTGCTACCCTCTACATTAGAATAATTAAATGAAAATTTTTAGTTATTTCTTGGCTGAATATACATGATAATATAATTATTATTAATTCCTTACTTAGAATTTATACATCATTCACAAAATCTATTATTTATGCTTCAAATTAAGAATAATTGTATTAGAATTGCACCTCAGTGCTACGATTTCAGAAAAGCGGAGATTTATTCAATAACGGTAATATTCAATATCCAATGGGTAATTTAATTGTATAATAGATCATAATAAAAGTGCCATTTAATATCGGAAGATATGAAAAGAAATAAATTTTATCTTATAAAGTTGCATACAAAATTGGTTTAATAACAACTCGTTAAAGAGGAAATAAGAAGGAAATATTTGCGGATTATGATTAATTACTAGCTGATAGGCAGATGGAATTAATATATTTTGGCAATAATACAACAGTATTTAAAGTATCGATAATATTTTTAAAGCTAGATTTTATCTTTGGACAATGTGTGTGCTATGGAACAACTTTTGCGTAGTTGTCTTAACATATATTCCATAAGAAAAATTATCTAGGAATGTATCTATATTAATTTGTCTATGACGTTTTACATATTTTTAATTAATAACTGCATAGTTTTATAATATTTTCTATGAACTGGTAATTGATGTTTATGGAGATTTTCCATGAATTCACTGCCTTTTTTCGATTAAATTTGGATTCAGTTATGTCTAAAAGAGACTAGTGTTGTGTTATTATTCCTCCTTGTGATACGAGATTCTAGATTTAGGGTCGTATTATAGGTAGACATCCGAAAGAAAAACCTGACAATAGGCTCACAGTGTAATTTCTATAATATTTATATTTTAATTTTTATTAGCACAGACACATTACAACTTTTCGCTAAATAACTACTTACTTAAACGCTCTTTTACTAAACGTTAAACACATACAGCAAAGTACCGTGAAGATAGAATTTTTATTAGCACAGACACATTACAACTTTTCGCTACACAACATAACTCAAGTGTTCCCGTTTATATATGTTAGGAACTGTCTAATTTTTAAGCAGCATATTTGTAGTACTAGGTAAGATAAGTAATGCCTTAACGCTGATAATACTTGTGGTAGTTTATTAATAACCTTACATATTTGATGTTGATTGTTATTATGTGTAGATAGTATTAAGATGATTCAAATTCTAGCTAATGATAGTTGAACTAGACCACTGTAAGACAGTGTAATATTGTATTCTAATTTGATGATAGATTTAGCAATATCTACCGTAGTTATTGTGTTCAACGTGTGATAAATATTCCGTTAGAGGCTTAAGTATTAACTGTCTTTAAAATTTTATGAATATTCTAATGATCTCATAAAAGCAAATATTTATGATGGCGATACTATGGCCAATGTTAGAAAATGAATTTAGCTGTATCTTTAATGCTATATTCCGTAAATTCCAAAGTTTATCGATATTTTTTATGATATATTAAAAAACATTTTCTTACTAATGGTCATTTCTGGGGTCATAAACAAGTTTAAGGATATAGTTTACTATCCATAGTATGCTTATTAATAAAACCATTTGTGCCATAACGTAAGATCTCTTTGTTAATCAGGGTTATAACCACAAGGAGTAATATTGTTATGATAAAGTGTCTACTCAAAATTACAGTAAGAACTACAGTTTCTAGTAAACTTTACTGAATTACGTAAGATTAAATTCGACTTACAACTACCAAGGATTATCTAGCTGCGATCAGATGATCGGATTTTTATAATAAAGTTCACAGTTTATATACTAATAGATACAAAATGATTTTTAACGTTATAATCATATCTTACCAAGTTAGTCGCAAAATCAGACACAGCATTTATCATAACGCGATCTATTCATAATTTATGCATCTATTTAAGCATTAAAATACAATGTTCACAGCACTACCATAATTAGAGCAGTATATTATGATCTCAGAATCTTCATATAAGCATCGCAACAGAATTATTGCAGTATGTACTGGTGAAAATTAATTAATTATTGCGTCATCAATGACATAATTTTGTTGAAGAATGAATCAAATGTTAACACCTAGCCATTAATTAACTACTATTAAGTGTCATAGAAAATGTGTCGTGATTCTTGCTATATTCCGCACGTAGAGTTGGCTATAAATTTATTATTGTTTTGCACCAACGAAGTTTGTGAGGTTATATAAAGGTCTCAAAGTTCTTAACGGAGGGAGTTGATAGTTAGTTGATAAGAGATGGTTATCAGTTGTTAGTAGTAGATTGTAAGTTATAAGTTCAGTCGGTTATTTTAATAAATAGCTTTTAGAATAAAGTTTTAATTCTTAGCACGAGTATTCTATCGTCTAAGACTCGAATCTAAGTTTGTTAGATTAAAGAGTGCTTAGAGCTAGTTGCTTAGATAGTTGAGACTACTCTAGAGGAAAGAATCCCGGTAATTTTTGTGTTGCAATCTTGGTTGTGACAGTACTGTAAAAACCTTTTACAACTATACACTTATGCAATCACATACTTTAAGTAAGATCGGTGCAGGTCGTCAAATTATCGCTATAATTGTAATTACTGTAGCAGCAATGGTACTGATGCTAGGTAGACAAACGGTATAATTACTGTATACAGTATATGGTATGTTTGCGTGTGATATATACCCAATCACGAGATTCCAAATTTTAGAAAAATAAGGGCTTTATTGAATCTTATACAAAGATTAACTACTCACAACTCTACTCTAGCCGAATACTACTACTAAAGACTTCTACAACGAACTAACAGAATAATCTAAAGTTGCATGCTTTTATACTTTTCGTAGCATTCGCAGCTACAATCCGCATGGTAAACTTTTACCTTATTTTACACATAGTTAAATTATTCTTAGTAAGACTATTCTACTGCGGACCATCATTAATCCAATATGGATACGACTACAGTATTTACGTAGACGTTATTCACACCAGCCAAAGTACAATGAATTAACCATATCTTAATATATGGTTTACAGTTCTATTTTTACCTATAGCCTTATTAGTAACTCCACACCTTACTGTATATAGTCATCTGTACTCTAGCATAGAGTCTACACCACTACAGTCTGTAGTTATAGCTACCAAATATCTCTTAGGATAAATATCTACCGTATATTATACTAAACATGGCTAACAGTCTACAATCGCAATACTAGTTACATTACATTGCGCTATAATATTCTGTATATTGCGCTTAATCGTTGCAAGTTGTCAAACTGTCAATATAGTAACTACCCCCAATAGGGTAAAAGCTTATACACCAGTGCAAATCCATGACAAGTCGTCAAATTGTCACTATAATGGCGCTTACCCTGATGGCCCTTCATATGGCACGTATGCTTCAAAATTTTCTGTGCATTAGGAGCAATCAGTATAAAGTACTTAAATTGTTACTATAAGGATTACTGAATGCCTAAAAGCTCGAGCATCTTATCTACTATTGGTATACTTATTTCATATTTAAGCAGTATGAATCTAATAAAATTGCTTTAGCCTAAAATCAGTAAGACGACGAACTCTACGTTCTAATATAAATCGATAAAGTGGGAAATTGGTGTAACTAGCAGCAAAAAGTTTTATCTGTTTCATAGTATATAAAATTCACACCTGTAGCTTATACTAGCATCGATCAATTTCAGGAAATCATCACACTTTGATGATGTATAACTTAATTTCACTCAGCACTCCTGTAGATAATGTGTCAATAATGACAATAGCCTAAATATATTACTTGCGTAAGCTATCCTAATCAATGTATTACATCTTATATTAAGAAATTAACAGTACGTTTAAAGCAGTTTAGACTATTATTTGCACCTTTTCTTGATGAATATGAGGCAAAATGTAAAACACGAAACTTTTCATGTATTAAGTCAGCTTTTGCTTAGACTTTATATTCTATACATCATCAAATCATTTAATACTTCGATATAATAAGTATTTGAAACTTATTATAACGAATCATTTTGCCAAATCTAAATGAAACACAGCGGCAGTCCTTTAAAAGATTTTTTGACCCTTTTCTGCAATTTTTTACCAGCAACTAAACGAAATTGCTATGAAGCAGATTATGCCACAAAGTAAAAGTAAAAAATCATCCTAACTAATTGAAAGCAATTTCATACGGCATAATATCGGATAAGTTGAAAATGCACGCTAAAATCCGGAATGAACATCATTACAGTGCCTTCAACTCACTGAGTAACAGTACGAAAGTTTAATAGCTCATATTAATACGTTTGGCTCTATGATTATCATGTGCAAACAAATTTATTAGACATCCGTACAATTAAGTATTAGCATTAACGTGACTTAACGTCAATTCTCTACAAAAAGATATAGTAAAAAGCAATAGCAGTCTTTTGCAATGGATTCGAACATCAATATCATTTTCCTGAAATGACCTCAAACTCTTAAATTAGTGTAAATTTTGGACACGCTTACTATCAGATTATTTATCTTTATTGCACCTATAGAGTACACGGTAAAAAGTTACTGAACCTCTGATAGGTCTATCAAATGGTAATACTATCTGTTAAATGAGCACATTATCGTAAACCGTCAGCAAAGCGACGGGAGTTTGCACTAGTGTTACTGAACTACGTTCCTCTGTTAATAATCTCGGATGTGTTAATAAACTAACTTTGGTTAGCTGTTTATTTTAGTGCTAAGTTTACATGCATTAGTTGGCTCGTTAAATATTTATCTCTGATTATAATTATAATGTTATTTACGAATCAAGTCCATACTGAGTAATATTGATTGCCTGAAGAAAATTCGCTACACTAACATGTACAAAATGTAAAAGGAGTCTCTTACTCGTATGACCCATGAATATCCGTAGAAGGTATAAAAGGCGAACGAATAATCGTCACTCAGTTCCTATTTTACTAGTGCACTAGACATTAATCCGACCTCAGATGGAGTTGGTCATTATACATAAAAGTATTACTACCTCAAGATGATTAGGTACGGTAGATGCTTTACTGTGTAGGAAAGTTAGTCCTCCCTCAGTAAGATACTTTTAAGTTAGTTGAAGTCTACACACTGCTACTGTAGTATCTTAATAAATCGTTCACAAATAATTTGTGATAAGTAATAATTCAACTTTTATTCTCGATTTATAGTACGTTGAAAACTATCACCATGTTCCTAAAGACAATTTCATATTTCATAATAACCTTATAATATTATCGAACTATACATTTGTCAGATTTGGAGGGGTTAATAACACTAAGACTTTTTCATCCTTGTTTACCAACTTTCACCAACAATCTAGAATTTGCATGCTTTGAGATTGCTTGGATATAAAGTATTTGCCTTATATCATTATTTATGCACTTATTTTTTAAAAATTGTCAAAGCCGACCAAATCGACAACGTCAGCAACTACTAGTCTACAACTGAAAAATTGAAAAGTTAAAGTTCATTATAGATATGCAAATTGTACGAAGTGTTAAAAAATCTTGCATTCAATCTTTTCAGCATCATCGTACATTATGACAGGTTGTAACGCATTTTAGTGTTAAAAATTCCTTTTAACACTTGGCTATTTACTGTATTAGTCTATAGAAAATACTCCATTATAATATGAAATGATCATTTTAATTCTCTATAATAAGTGATGAAGTATCAAACATACACTTCAGTATACTTTATGATTTAAATAAATAGTCATATTGTATTTATTTATTTACATTTCACAGAAGTTAACTTTGCTGTATAAGTCCACCTACTACAGTTGTACATATATCATCCTTGAGAAGTCGAACATCTAATAGTCGCCATTGACGAAGTAGGCGTATAGTCTTAACTTGAACTAAAAATAACTTACTTATTTATTATAAAAATTTATGATCGTGCTCAATGATTTCCTGCTACTCAAAAATAAGTAGTACAGTTCGTAACGGTATCAAGATAAATTTTCTGAAGTTTAAATTATTTAACCACTTCCTTTACGGTAAAGATCAGCCATAGTTTACTAATTATTTCTCCGACGTCATTGTCTCTCGATTTATTGATTATCAGTGTATGAATAAAACGGGCAGGATAAAAGTTCTCCTTTGCTTCTTCAACAATAGTTAATGATTACAATTATGAATATATTGCAGCAACAATGGACCGCTGTTATAATTTTTGACGTCACTTACAAATAATTAGTTACAGGAGATTATTATCATTGCTTTCTTTAGGATAAATACAGTCGTAGCAAAAAAACTAACCTATAAATTAAAGTTTATTTTTATCAGTTTTACTTCTGGGCTTAAAGATTTACATTTCTGATTGCATCAAAAAGTGTGATAGAACAACATATCGATGACTATTATTAAATCTGTTTATATTAGCATCATTAGCCACAAGATATAAATACGGTTTTAGTTCTAATCAGTACCACACTTTGCTATCCATTATTCATCAGATTGGTCTTAAATCTAGTAAATGTACTAAATTCAGACTTAGACTCCTTCATCGAAGACTTCGAATTAGTTTAACGAACTGTTACCGAAGGAAATAGCAAACGTCATTTCTTGAATTTAATGAAAATGAAAATCAAATTTCGAACAATTATTTTAATCATCACTATTTATTATCTGCTACTTTGGCCTCTGTCATCAGAAGGTAAGATTAAATTAAACACCATTATATGCACTGTGCTTCCAAATTTGATACAATCTTGAGAATATACTCTCCTTCTAGTATTTAATCCGTTGAGCTTACCTAATACGGATAAATTTTTGTCTGCAGTAAAGTAGCGTTTCAAGCAAACGATTTCTTAGAATAGACAGAAAAGGGAAATAATGCTTGACAACGATCTATCATAATCTAACATAAGTATATGCTGCGATGTATAGAAAAGTAGCAAATGACTGAATTTTTCGTCATTCTTGTCACCACAGAAGGGACTATATTAAATGACTATGATGTATTAATTCGCAAATCTTCAATTGAGAAGTCTCTAATATACTGTAGGCTGAAAAGTTCTTGCGGTACCTAAATCAGCAGTGCGACATCGCTGTCATTAATTCAAATAGTTTTAAGACGACATTACTAAATAGTATTATTTGCTATCTCCGTTAGAGCATATCAACTGTTGTAGAGCATTTATTAGCTGGATCATGGATTATTAGATATATCTAGTAGTCCTTTATCGGACTTTTATTCTAGTTCTTTAGTGTTAACCTTTCTTAATTGCAAAATTATCTCGCATCACTGCTACTAATATATTCTCTGGCTGAACTAGTGCTCTTAGAGCGAACATCAGTAAATCATATCAACATTACTATTACAATATCATACGAAGAGTTTTATTTTGTTAATTGATACAATTTAAATTTATTTTACTATAGCATTAAAGACATCGGTAACTAATTTCGGTAAGAAATTTTATCTTGGATACATGCAGGCTGCTACGACAAACCAACATGGTTCACATTTTCCTTTTGTCGTTATTACAACTTTAAATCAAGCTGCGCAAGTGACTATTACTAATAATTATGATAAATCCATTAGCCTTTTTAGTATTAGTGCACAAAGCTACCGAGAAATTCCGCTACCAATATCACTCGAAAATAGTGTAAATGGAGTAAGTAGCAAAACTGTTCTTGTGACATCGGATCAAGATATCATTGTTGAAGGATATCATGTACACCCATTATCAGCTGATGGATATCTTGCTTTACCGACAACAGCTTTTGGCAAACAATATGTTATTGCAACGTATACACCGTACCAAAGGTCTCAATTTTTGGTTACTGCATCTCAAGATCAAACCCAACTCAGCATTATTTTCCCGCGAAACGTTAACTATCTAGGTACCATTTATTCTCGAAGTAATCATCTGATCGTCAATTTACAGAAATCGCAAAGTTTCTACTTCGGATATAATCAAGACATAACCGGAACAATCATCAACTCAAATAAGAAAGTCGCCGTTCAATCTGGCAATCGATGTGCATTAGTACCTGTGAGAATAATTGATTGCGAATATCTTGTAGAGCAGCTATTACCAACAAATTCTCTTGGCAAGAATTATGTATTGACAACTTTCGCTGATAGAACAGCTGGTGATATATTTCGTGTTGTTGCTGCTTACGATAATACAAGCATTCGAATGCATTTAAATGGACAAATTCATATTATTTCTCAGGGTTCATTTCTTGAATTTCATCTAGCTAGCGATACAGGAACGTATTTAACATGCAGCAAGCCTTGTGCAGTAGCTCAATACAGTAAAGGGCAAAATGCCGATCATTCTATTTCAGATCCAATGATGATTCTTGTACCATCAATTAGTCAATATCAGTCGAGTTATGTATTTTACAGCGTAGACACTGATGGCGATGAGATTATTGACCGCTTTGTTAATATCGCAATTTTGGATAGCCAAAAAAATGGATTAAGATTAGATGGTAGCGCCCTTCAACATGTTCGTTGGGTTACAGTTCAAACTAGCAACGGCACATATGCGGTGGCACATGTCTTCATCCATGGAGGTAGACATGTGCTCAATCACAACAGTTCTAGCGTCCAATTTTCCTTAATCCAATATGGTTATGGTCCAATAGGGTTGTCCTTTGGATTCCTAGCTGGAATTAAGCTATCCCTTGAATTGGATGGTCAGTATTCTAATTAACTGAATAATCGTTATAAAGAAATAGTCGTTACTTTCGTAGCAAACAAGATACTTCCTTTAGTTCTTGTAATCGTATAACCGTTAAGACTGAAGGGTATGTATTATCAATTTAATTATTTTTCTAGATTATTTGTACATCAACCAGCATCCAAGTTCAAAAAATGTATCTGAGGGTCAAACTGTGATACTAAGATGTCGAGCAAGCAGTAACTATCAGCAAATTAACGTTATATGGCTCAAAGGCTCCACTCATATCAGCAATTACACCACAACAAATTCCAATGGCGAAAGTCAACTAACACTTCCCAAAGTAGCTGAAAAAGACATAGGATGGTATCGTTGTAGATTTTCCAATCCTGCAGGACTGAATGAAACTGAATCTGCTTATGTCGACGTATTTGGTTATTATTAAATTTTATAAATGACTATCTAGCATGTTAAATTGTCACTAAATGTCTGTTGATAGCGCCGTACATTTAACTAATATTATGAATTTCCTATCTAATTTCTACATTAGAAATACCACGTATTGTTATCAATCCTCAAAATGTTCAAGTAAATCAAGGGAGTTCTACCAATTTTCATTGTAAAGGAGAAGGTCTGCCTACTCCTACTTGCATTTGGCTCAAAAATCAAGTTACAATTAACAGCACTAGATATCTCATTCTCTCATCCAGTGAAATTAAATTACAGCTAAACAATGTAGTTATCGGAGACGCCGGCAATTATGTTTGCTTCTGTTCTAATGGTATTGGAAATGCAACAAGCAGTATAGCTACTCTAACTGTGTTAAGTAAGTTAGGATAAATATAACAATTATTAAGTTTATCCAAGGTATAAATTTTAATTCGGAAATAAACCTAGATGAGCCCAGAGATTTCTGGACTTACTTGCAACTTTGCTGGTATGCGTAGCATACGAGCGCATACGCGCAGGATATCACGAATGATTAACTAGACTAACTGTGACTATAATAGAATCTCTCATATTAAAACCTTGAACGGTTTCTGTGATAACATTTTACATTAAAAGCTTATCGGACCCTAAATTGCCTTTCAATTTTGGGTACAGGCTTACCTATAATCATCACGAATCCAAGTAATATGGCAGCACTGATTGGCCAATCAATAAAATTACTCTGTAATGGAACTGGAAATCCGATACCAACTATTGCCTGGATAAAGAATGGACAAGTTGTAAACAATTACACAGTAATCAATGCTGTTGTTGGTAGCTACCGAAGCAGTGAACTGACTATCCAAAATATCAAAAGTTATGATATGGGTAGATATTGGTGCAGTTTTAGCAATAGTGCCGGAACAAAAGTATCGCTTGCTGCTACTATTACCATCTATCGTAAGTACCAAGTATTTCAAATACTTGCTTGATACGATACTATCTTTCAGTCAATCTCTATCATCTGTAGTTATTTCATAATATCTCTTTTGTAAATTTAATGTATCATCTTAATCATTCAAACATATCCATTTTCAATGTTATAATGCATAGTTAAACCGACAGTCATAACTCCACTCACAAGTTATACCGCGATACAAGGAATAGCTATTAATATTAGTTGTCAAGCCAACGGATATCCTATTCCATCGATTAAATGGTTCAAAGATGGAAATCTGATTAATGCTATACACCAATCATCGATATCAGGTGGCTCCAATCTATATTTAACTAATTTAACGCCTCAAGATGCCGGAAATTATACATGCTACAGCGAAAATATTGCTGGAAATACGAGTAGTCTTGTTGGTATTTTGATTATCTACAGTAAGCCTATGTTATTGCTGTTATTCAGCTTCTATTCAAACATCTTCAGTTACAATTTGAATTTGCTTTACAAGAAATTCAATTCCTATATACTTCATTATATTTTCTCGTAGCAAAACCTGCAATTATTATTTCACCTGTGAATACCACTGTAATCCAGGGGAATACCTTAATGCTTTCCTGCCAAGCTAGCGGCAAGCCGCTACCAACTATCCAATGGATTAAAGACGGTTACTTAGTTGATAGTAGTCTTTACTCGTCTTCAACTTCAGGCTTATCGCAGCTTCAAATACCTCTTATCAAGATTACAGACGTTGGAAATTATGTTTGCTTTTCTTCGAACTCATTTGGAAATGCTTCAAGTATGGCAGCTTTCATTACTGTATACTGTAAGTATAAATTCCAACCGCAGCTCTAGATATATAAAACTTTGCTTATGATTTAATGTGTTTATCTGATTACCACCTTCATAGTAACTTAAGTCGCATTTAGCAGCGACATTATGCTTAAAAAACTTGCTTTCATAGAGGCTGATATCACGTAAATATCAAAGTTGAGCAGAAGCATAATTTATGCCAGTGGAAAGCTAATCGATTAATTATTTTAAATGTCGTTTCTCTATTAAACTGATAGATTCTCCAGTTATTAAACTAAATCCTAGTAATACTGGAGCAACTGAAGGACATTCGATCACGTTACTTTGCAGTGGAACTGGAAACCCATTACCTCAAGTCTCTTGGTTGAAATCTGGACAACCAGTCGAGAAAGGCGACTTTAGTAGCTCCTATACTGCATTCTCTATTTCCAGCAATATCACCATCCAAAATGCAAATCTTAATGATACTGGCCTATACCAGTGTAATTTTTCCAACAGTATAGGAAGTACACAGAGTAGTAATGCAATCGTAACGCTATACAGTAAGTAAATTTGGACTTTAATAAACAGCCAATGCACATATTATATCCGCACTGTTAATCACTTAGGAGTATCTGCACAACAATTACTATTATGCTGCTCAAAATAGCTGATTTGAAATTATTGTATCGATAACTAAGTAGCAAAGACATTGCTTCTGTAGCCTATTAATTCAAATATATGATTATAGTGTTTTTATAACCATAGTAGCCAAGTTGTAATCTGTTGCTATCAGTTAAAGAATTACTACTTTCATTACTTCAGTCTAGATTACAGCTTAGACAGCAAGTTATGCAAATTTTATAAATTATATACCAGATTTTTCAAAGCTTATAGCATGGTTATCTTCTTCTTACTTAGAATTTTAATAATTACATGTGTGACAAAATTTCTTTCACCTCTGCATTTTTTCTAATAGCAAAACCTGTAATTACGAGATCACCGAAAAGCCTGATGATAACGGAAGGTTCCTCAATTAATCTGACCTGTCAAGCTACGTCTAACCCTGCACCAGCCTTCGTGTGGCAAAAAAATAAGCAAATTTTAGACTCAAAAATGTTCTCTTCATCTATTAATACGTCGATTTTAATGTTGAGCAGCGTAACTAAAGAAATTACCGGCAATTACTCCTGTATTGCAACAAATTTTGTGGGCAATACAACTAGTAATGATGCAGTCGTGATCATACATTGTAAGTAATAAATCTTTTCACAGTTTTTTAAGTCAACTTACTATCAGCTTATGAATTGATACAGTTCTAAGCCTTCACAGGATAGGATTAATTTTAAATCTTACATCCAATCATGAAGATAATAATTTCATGAAAATCTAATTTAAGCGTTACAAGGACTGTTTAATAATGTTCACCTTTTAGAATAGCATTAATTTTCGTTTTAAGTTGAGTACTTAATAAAGTTCCAATCTTCTGAGATCTCTTATCATAAAATTTTATTTCTAACTTTTGGCCACCTTTTCTATTTAGATAAGACGGCAATCAACAATAACCCTACCGATATAGCGGCTATTGAGGGACAAAATATTACATTATATTGTAGTGGAATAAGCGATCCTATATCTAATGTTACATGGTTTAAAAACAATAATTTTGTTGGAAATAATCACAACTATACCATAGTAAGCAGTGTCGATAACCTGATAGCTAGCAGTCTATTAATTATTTATGGTGTCCAGCTAGCAGACAATGGTGCATATCAGTGCAAATTTACAAATCCGATAGGATCATCACTAAGTAGAAATGCAACGCTTAAAATTTATGGTAAGTCATCCTATATCACTCAATAACCTACAGATCGACGTTAAAATTTGTATGATTCAATAGATCATGTAGCGTAACTGCAATTCTATCGTAATTGTGATTATTGAATGAATATTATGGTATCAAATCTGACAGAATTTGGCAAACTTTAGAGTACAGAATATTACGATAATAACATTGTGCTATATGTTATTTCCTTCTGCTTAGAAAAACCCATTGCAATCATTAGTTCTGGTACCAGATTTGCAGTAACTGGAAAAGTTTTGACATTGAGTTGTAGATCCATCAATTATCCCCCACCAAATTTTTTTTGGTTCAAGAACGGTCAAAAAATTAATAATTCTGTAACATCATCTCCATCACCGAACTTGTCTTTACTGACGATCAGTTCTGTTACCATGAACGACGAAGGAAATTATACCTGTTTAAGTACAAGCGTAGCCGGAAATGTAACAAGTAGCCCAGTAAAGATCATCGTATTAGGTAATTATAATTTAAATATGATAGCAGATCATTGGATCATATTTAGCTATTAAATGACGAGGAAATCAAATAAAGAACAGAAACTCATTCCCATTTTCTATTGTGCATGAGTTTGATTCATGCTCTATAATGTCTCGTAGAAATAATATCTTCTTCAGAATTATCTAATTCTTTTCATGATTTTACTACTAGTTTTTCCGGTTATTGTTGTTCAGCCACTCAGTACAGGAGTAATAGAAGGGATGTCAATCATATTGCATTGTAACGCGACAAGCAAGCCAATAGCCACTATTAGTTGGCTAAAAAATGGATTTTCGCTAAGTGTTAACCACAATATCGCAAGTTTTATATCCAATGGGTATATAAGAAGCAGACTGACAATTTACAATAGCACTGCCAAAGATTACGGCTCATATCAATGCAACTGCACCAATACCATCGGATCCGCTATAAGTAGCATGGCAAATATAACTATATATAGTAAGTGATACTAGATATTTGGATGCAGTAAATATTATAAGCTACTTTACTGTGAAATTAAGATATTTCACGATTTCAGTAAGAAAATGATGATATCTACAGCTTTATTTAAATTTCATAAAATAAGTGCTGCTTCTCATTTCTGCCAATTTTTTGTTTTAAAACTATAATAGGTTCACCAGTTATTGTTAATACTTCAAAAAGCATCACTGCAATGCGAGGAACCTCAACTGAAATGCTGTGTCAAGCAACAGGCAATCCTCAACCAAAATTCAGTTGGCTTAAGGATGGAGCTAATATTGCGGAATCCCAGTTTTATTCACATAGCGTGGATCAGTCGGTGCTTAGGCTAATTAACTTAACATTAAATGATGAAGGAAACTATACATGCGTGAGCAGTAATCTCGCTGGAAACACTACAAAGACCATTAAAATAACAGTACTTGGTAAGTAAAACTAATAACAAAGTTTTAGGAAAATATAGATATTGAAATTAACATGCAATTTTACGACTCAATAATCCTACTGTACCCATCTAACCTCAAACTCATTATCAGATCATATTTTTGGTATAATAGTAAACATTGGTAACTGTAATACATCACTGATACATCTTAATGTGAGCTATTGAATAAATCACTATTTCTGATATTATATATATATATACTTAAAGCCGAAACGATAGTTACTCAACAGCCCAAATATATAGCTATCATTGAAGGGAATCCTATCAAATTAAATTGTAATGCTACTAGCAAACCTATATCGACTATAATCTGGTTAAAAAATGGTAATCCGCTTAGCCAGAACTATAGTATCACAGCAATGAACAGCAAGTTACTTAGCAGCAGTATATTAACCATCAGTGCTGCGACTAGGAATGATCAGGGTATCTATCAATGCAACTTTACGAATATCATTACGACGGTATTAAGCAAAGCGGCCAACATTACAATATACAGTAAGTTTAGAATAATAATCATTATCTATCGATTAGTAACTTTCTAAGATTTGAATAATTCAACGATTTAAACTAGAAAGCTAATTCTACTTCTAATGTAGCAATTTAATTCTATACAGCCTATCCGATTATAGTTTCAACACCACAAAACATTACACTATCTCAAGGAGCTTCCTTGACCTTCAATTGTCAGGCTACAGGCAATCCTTTACCCACTTTTATCTGGCTAAAAGGTGACAAGATTGTTCCTGAATCTAAGTACGATGGATCTACTCCAGGTTTATCGATATTAAATTTGAATAACGTAACTCGGAGTAACGCTGGCAAATATGTTTGCATATCGTCAAATCTCGCCGGAAATACTAGCATAACTAATATTCTAACAGTTTACGGTAAGTGATCGATAAAGATAAAGATTTTATTAACTTAATATTTACTTTAGGCTATTTTACTTTGCATATGAATAGATAATAAATGATCTCAGCGTACAGTAAAATATCTATATACTAATTGGGTTACTTTATCGTAAAGCTCCTCCAACTATCGTCGAAACTCCGCAAAGTATTGCCGTAATTGAAGGATCTACTATAATAATACAATGTAATGGTTCTGGAAACCCTAACCCTTCCATAATTTGGTTAAAAAATGGAATAATAATTAGCAATTACAGCATTAGTAGCACAATATCGTACGGATATACGACCAGCAGTCTTGTCATTCAGAACAGCCAAAAATCTGATGGAGGCCTATACCAATGCAGGCTTAGCAATCTATTGGGATCATTAAGGAGTCAAAATGCCTCTATTGTCATTTACAGTAAGTTTAGAAATTACTAGCATTTATCTCTTCTTCTCTGATCAATTTTAAAATCTAGGCAAGAAATTCATAAAGCAATTTTTCTTTACAACAGATTTTACCTTAAATATGGGTCATAATTTTTACGTCAATCATACAGTAATATTATTTACTAGTACGTATATTCACATGCCTAATATGATCAATCATTCAAATACCCTAGCATATTTACAATCATTATCAGTCCTATTTAAGAATTAATAATGTAAAAACGGTTAACACGGAATGCTTGACCTCTATAAATGTATTCTACGATTTTACATTAAATCATATTTTCATAAGCTTATATGGAAACTTGCGCGTATAACGAAATCATATGGTCATTAAGAATTTCTATAAAATTTTACACTATAAAGTGTTAGACAACAGATCTACTAGAGTTGTAAGGATGAAAATTATCTTAGAGAGTAAAATTTTTTAAGATAATTTCAGTAGAAGCATCGTCGTGATCCTGGAAATTACCTTTCATATTTTATGAATTTTGTCTATCAACCTGCTATGAAGAATTATATGCAAGAACCCTGCATACAACTAGATGCAATCATTATAGCAATACTTTACATAGGTCGCACTTTTCCATATTTACAGTGTTAGAGTATAAACTTGTTCACTAAATTATCATAAGAATAGACACATATTAACATAATTTCTACGATTTTTAGCAAGACCAAAGATTCTTGTTTCTCCAAAAAGTCAAAATGTTAGCCAAGGTAGCTATGTAACTTTATCTTGCATCGCATCTGGATATCCCCTACCGGCTATCAATTGGATGAAAAATGGGCACATGATGTCATCAAGAAGAAACTCTGATATCCTTACCTTTAATGCCGTTGCCCTGAAAGATAAAGGTATCTATCAGTGCTCAGCTGGTAACCTTGCGGGAAATTCTACAAGTTCATCAGCCGCACTTTACATCTACAGTAAGTTGTAATATTTGCACTGAAAAGAACCGTGTTAAGATAATGTGTTAAGAGTATATTTTAGAACGATGCATATACAGATTTCCTAATTAAAGACAAAAAATTTTGTATGGATAACTTGTTAGCTTTGCCCATTATCGAAGATATATCAAAGAGCGTTGCTATTCCTATTGGTAACTCGGTAACATTAAAATGTACTGGATCAAGTATTCCAACTCCAACAGTAGAGTGGTTTAAGGATAGCTCTGGCACCCTGCAAAAAATGACTACATTTTCGCGTCATCAAACATTAAATAATTCCGTTATGAGTATATTATCTATAAATTCAACTAAATCGGGTGACGCTGGATCATATGTTTGCAGAGTCAAAAATCAATTTACTCCACCGACTTCTCAAAGTATTATTATAATACTTCTAGGTACGCTATTATATTATTTACGGAAAGATATTTTTCCAATTTTCTATAAAAAATGTTGCATCTTGTAAGTTCAGCATACAGTAATCGATATATGGGCAATATTAATTGTCCAAATGAAGATTTATAAGCAAAAGAATAGGTTCAATTAAATATTTGCATTTATCTTAATGTTATCTAATGTAAGTTAAGAAACTTGAAAGAAGCTATGATATTGCAATTGATCTTTATTTAGAACCTCCTTCATCCGTCGTAAATGTTCAAGTTTTTAACATTACTTCGTCTGGCTTTAAGATCACCTGGCAAGCTCCGACTTTTACGGGCTATACCTCTATAACCAACTATACTATCGAAACGACTAATTATCCACCAGCAAATACTATAAATCGATGCCAATTTAGTCTAACCGACAACGAATGTATTGTTAATTCAAATAGAAATGTAGTTACCTTCTTCGATTTAATTCCATACAGCTCTTATAATGTTACTATTTGGGCACAGAACATTGCCGGTAAAGGTAAAGACATTACTGTAACCTTAAGAACAGATCAAGCTGGTAAGCAGTAATACTATAATACGATTAGTTATCTTATAATTAATTACGTTACTAGAGAATGAAATCAACTGTTAATTAGCCATTAGTAACACGATGAAAGTATTTAAATTAGACTTGTATAATTAAATTTCTACATCTACATTTAATTTTAAATCTAAATATATTATAGCTCCAGGAAATTCAGTTACCAATTTAATTGCCTTGGCCTACAATGCAACTGCTATTAAAATTGAATGGAGTCTTCCTACTCTTCCATACGGCATGGTAGCATATAAATTATACCAGTGGATTAGCCAGAGCTCATCAGGAATCAGCAGTTCTGCGGGAGGAAATACTACTATATATAATGGAGTTGGTACTACAGTTTATTCCTCCAATCTAAACGAGAACCAGCAATATTTCTATCAAGTGATTCCCTATAACATTAAATATGGCTTAATTGGCCCTGCTAGCACAATTGCTACAGCTACTACCCATGAAGATGGTAGTACTTCCATTAATAAGATTAACTATAATTGTCGTACTTAATAATTGACAAAATTAAAGCTTAACATTACAGATGATGCTATTTTTATCTAAGTATTACGTAATTTATGATCTTTCCTACTATTCAGTCACCTGACCATAAATGTAGTTGTCAAACTTTTTAACGTTATTAACGCTATTTATTCGTCTTTTATTAATATTTCTAGTACCAAAATCATCTCCAATAAACATCACCGTTAATGCTGTAACTTCTAAAATAATTAAAGTATCTTGGAAACCGCCAAAATTACAGGATCGCAATGGCGTTATCATCACATACGCTATTACATATTATGCAATAAATGTAAATAATGCAACTACTATTCAAGTTGATGGATTAACAAGATCCATAGATATTGATGAATTAAAGCCGTATACGATTTACTATGTCAAAATTAAAGCAGCCACGACTGCAGGATTCGGGCCTGATAGCTCCATTGCTAACGTAATTACAAATCAAGCAGGTATTTATAGACAATCATGGTCATCCTGGCCAAGTTATCTCAATAAATTCTTTGCTGTAAGATAATATTTTAATAATTTTCTTTGACTATTAATTGACGACAAAATATTATTTTTGAATTTATTTCAATATCCAATAATAGCTCCTAGTGTTGGTCCAAACATTCAAACAGTTTCAATAGTTAATGGCAGTAGTCTCCGAATTAAATCAAACGTGAGGGATCGTAGCATAGCGTATAAGGAAAATATTTAAAATTTTAAGTATTACATAATGAGTACTGAGGTTTTATAGTCTATCGCTGTACTTTTTAGTCATAGTGCTACATCTCTGCATACTCCTGATTATCTATTAAATTATAAATAACCATAAACAAATATTCAGTACTTTATTAACACTCTACGGTATTGATATTTTGTCCTTCAGATAATTTCAAATGAAAACATAAATGGTATTTTGCAAGGCTTCTACGTGGTCTTGCAGAATAACAAATTTCAGTCCACCCGTAGCATAACCGTGCTCATAAATCAAACAGATACTCAAAATCAGACTCGAATTCTTATGATCAATAACTTGCAGTTCTATTCTCAATATCGGATCTCATTGCGAGCGTTCACCATTGCTGGACCTGGTCCAAATGGAAGCGAAGTTTCATTTACTACACCACAATCAGGTTAAAATCCTATGTCTATCACCGTTAAATTAATCGATTAGATGCCGAACCTTACCGGTAGTGCTTTATTATTTCGAAGTTAATTGTAAGACATCAGTCATTTTGCAAAATGCTTAAAGAATATCAGACATTTCGCAAAATGCTGACTTCGTAAACTGCCAGTAACTTACTTACCAATTTTTTCCAAATTTTATCATTATATAAAATTTTTAAAATCTTCAGCATGACTAGTTAGAAACTCATAGCTTCTTTCATTTCCCATGAATCAGTTCCTTCAGCACCACCTCAAAACGTCCAAGCTAAAGGAGATCAGTTGCCGGCATCAAGAGCCACAGTAGTTTGGAATCCACCCCCACTAAATCAGCAAAATGGAGATATAATTGCGTATAAGATAAGATATGGTCTCAGCAGTAATTCCTCAAATAATATAGATAACAATATTCAAGTCATTATAATTAAAGGCCAAATGCAAGCACATCTAATCAATTTACAACCGTTGACCGATTATTCCATCGAAGTTGCAGCTTCGACGATGATGGGATATGGGCCATTTGGTCGGCCAGTCATCTATCGAACTCATAGTGCAGGTAAGCGCGTAGAAAGAGCAAGTATTAATGAAATAATTTAATCTAGACTTGCTCTTCTATCATTAATTCATTTCTTTGATCCAAAGAACATTTAAATTATATTACTTGCAGAATCACCTGATGTATTCGAATCACCGAAAGATCAATTTATACCAGCTGGATCGAACCTAACTCTGTACTGTAGTGGAAAAGGAGATCCAATTCCCCAGATCCAGTGGATCAAAAATGGTTTGCCAATTAATCCAGCATACCGAGTCGTAACCAATGGCAGTAAGAGCGAATTAATCATTTCGAGAATAAGTTCTATCGATGCGGGTTCTTATCAGTGCCGTCTTACAAATGTTAAAAGTTCCGTTACTACTAAGCCAGCCGTAGTAACTGTAACTGGTAATAAGAACTTTATAGTAAATTAATTAATAATTTCTATATGAAAGGTTAATTCCATTTTTATTATTCTATTTCAAATATCGAAATTATTGATTTTATTTAGGCACTGATAACTTGAACGGCTACTGTCCAACCGTGATTAGTAATGATATAAGATGGCAGAAAATTCAAGTTGGTAATACTGCAACAGCTCCTTGTCCCGTACCGGCTAGAGGTTTGAATTTAGTTTTCAACTAATTTTATTACATATCCAAATAAAAGCGTTAATCATAGTTTCATTGAAACAAATACTTTTTTATCCTACATGCATCAGGAATTGCGTCTAAAGCCTGCACCAAATCAGCAGTCACAGGTTTACCTATTTGGAAGCCGACAGATACCATCCAATGCATATCACCGT